CTATCTTAACTGTGGAGAAAACAAATGAGGTTTTAATCCTTTTGAACTGTTCATTGGAAAGTGACAGTGTGCATTTAGGTGAAAGAGTTGGTTTTGGTTTGGGGTTTGGAGTTTTTTCTTGTAATAATGCCAATAAAGAAGTTGATTCTGGGGAGTCTTTATCATTTAAAGTATTTCGAAAGCTGACATTCCAGTTCCCTGGATAAAATCAAATAGAACTGACTGACAACATAAGTGTTAGGGAAATCATTCAAGAATCCTACTGTGTGCTGAAGTGAGTGTCTACGTGATCTATATTTACTGCATAGGAAGAGAAATATGCACGTGTTTAGCTAATTTGTGTCTCTGTCATGAACATCTAACAGTTTGATTTCATATTTCTAAAGGTGATTTCTAACAGCTTGATTTCGTATTTCTAAAGGTGATTTCTGCCCTTGTAACCATTTCCATTGTGAAGTGGGTTGGTTTCCAAGTTGTTGGACAATTTCATGCAAGAGTATAATGTTCTAACCCTCTTAATTTGCTTTTGAGAATAGAGAAACTATTTCATATACTTTTTTTTTCTTTTTTTTTTTTCAGAAGACTAGTTTAGCTAAGAAAATCCTTCTCACTGGATAGACCTTAGTGCATTGAGCTAGACAGAATGCAAAGTGCTGTCCCTGAGTGACCAGCCAGACATAGATCTTAGGATGAGGTTCTACTATAGTCCTCAGAAATGCACTTCATTTCCAAAGCACAATGTCAAAATGAGTCAGAAGGAAGCAAAAACATTTTCAGGGTTTATTTTGAACGAAATATTGAAGAACTCTAAATGAATGGATTTGGCTATTAAAGTGTCACTTTAGAAAAGTGTTGAAATAAGATTTCTTAAAGTATTTGTTGAAGGAAACGGAAATCTGCATCTGAGGAAAAAGTCACTAAAAAAAAACAAAAATTTCTGGTTTGGGGTGCTTTGTTTTTTTCTTTTTTCTGTCTGTTATAGCATCTATGTCCAGAGCTTTCACTGCACTTCCATATAACCACAGCTAAATTATTCTGTGTTGAGGTTTCCACCTTAGCTCTCTCCTGGTCATCACAGCACATGGAAGCTCTACTGGGACGTCCTTAAGAGAACTTTTGGAAACACTGTGATTACTGGTGCCTATTCTATTAGCAGGAGAAACAAAGAGAAAATTTCTTTAACTAAAAGTTTTAGCATGCTACTAACGGTTCTAAATTAGAGGTTGTGATTTCTTAATTCTTAGTGGAAAGTCAATCTGGGTATCTTTTACTTAATAAAAATATTAGTTCTGTTCAATTACATTTTTAAAATCTGCAGTCAGTTATATAAAAGATAACACTGAGATCTGCAAACTAGATGTACTTTGTTCTAAAGCCAGGCTATAGACATTATGCTGTGTTACACCGAAAGTCACCTCAAGACTTATCTCTAATTCCATGCTCTCATACAGTTAAGAACAGTTTGTCCCCTTTTGAAGTAAAACCCTATGTAAAGGTAGAAAGCAAAACACTTAGTTGCCTGAAGTCCTAGTAGTTTAGGGTTTCTTAGTGGGTTTTGGTTTTGTGGATTTTGATTTTATTCCCCCTACACCCTTTTATGAGTTGAGTCTCATTTGGACAACGGAAAAACTCAACTTCAGTAGTGTTAACATCATGAAAATTAGATTAGGGTTTCAGTATGAAATGTGATATGAAGCAAAAGGGGAAAAAAAATTAGTTTTTACCAGATTCCCTTTATGAAAGATAAATTAGCTTGAAAGAGAAATTCTTATCAGGGAGGTATCTGTGATATTTTCCCACAGAAATCACAAGTGATGTCTATGAGTACTATGTAGGTGTAGTGATAGTTTACAACTTGAGTAAGATTTCTTTGTATATGACAAGGCTGGGACCAACTGAGAAGATTTTAGGTTCTGTTTTCAGGATGTGTGTAAGTTTACATGCATTTATGCATGGGAGACACAAACATTAATGGGTTTTAAACTATGCATTCAGATTTTTATTTGGTTATAATTGAAAAAATCACAGTAGCCTAGGATCCTATACACTTCACTAAGCTAATGTTAAGCTAATTTCCTTTATTAGTTTTTATTTGTTCAGTTACAAAAAATGGAAATGCTCAAAAAATATCATTCCTGTTCACACATTCCACTTGTTTCAATACAAGAACATGCAGGCATATTTCTGTAGCTAAAGAAAATTTTCTTGCTATAAGAGTAGCAGAATCTTGTCTGATACAAGATGAACAAATTTCACCATTTCCTATGGCCAGCATGTTGAGACATGTAAATATCTAAATTATAGTTTGTGTATATGTATCATCTAAGAATACCTCATATGTTTGCTGGAACAGGAATGAGATGGGAAAAAAAAAAATAAATTTAGAATACTATACTGTAAATATTTTTTTTTTCCTAAAGGGTCAAAAACCTTTGCAAAATACTTCAAGGAAAGAATTTTCCAGAAGAAATCCAGCTGCATTCCTATTTGATGAGACTGAAGAAAAATGAGGTAGTGCTGATTCTATAAATTTATGGAGGAGGAAAAGCAGAAATCCTCTTTACTATATTTTCTGAAAGCTTGAGAAAAGCCAAATGGGATTCTCAACTACTTTTGGTTGAGTCAAAGGCCTTCTGAACTGGGCTGGAGACAGAAATGTGGGCTTGCCACTGGTTGGTAATAAATAAAAAAAAAAAGGGAGAAGGATCCCTTCTTTACCAAATATGTGTGTTGAAGTGAATCCTGCTGTTCATCTTCACAGCAAGCCACATTATATCATTAGCATACTTCTCATCAGCCAGTGGGTTTTACAGATGAAGAGCAGGTTTATTTCTTTTTCTCTGAAAAGAGTGGTTGAGCAAAGACTTAAATATACACAAACCCCTTATTTTTGTTTGCTAATGTAAACAAAGAAGGAAATAACAGGTGCAAAGCAGGGCTGTTAGTTAGTCAGCATTTTACATTAAATCACTCCCCCTCTGCTTCACTCCCTGAACATCTCTGACACCCCTGCTGAAAACAAGCATTTCCCAAAGTCAGTCTGTCAAAACATTTGGTACCTGCAACAGCACTATCAGTGCTGAGATACATATGTGCAGAGAGTTTTAAACAAAGCGACATGCCTCAGCCCTTTAGAGCCAAAAGCTGCAGCCACCTCATGTGTGGATGCATTCAGGTTGTGCTCTGGAGGCTGTCCAGCACTGGGGAAAGTGATGTTTTGCAGCCGCGGCTGCAAAGAGAAAATGTGCAAAAGGCCTACCTGAGCTAGCCCAAAGTGGGCTGCTTCACATGCCCCTGCCAACAAGTGGCGGTGGCAGCTTGGTGTTTGGTGCTGTAATGAAGCTGGCAGGTCTGTTCAGTACTCTCTTGTGTGACTGCTTGTTCTGCAGTTTAGGCTGCAGCATTGCAGTGCTGGGTTATCTGAGTTAGACTAGCTATATTCTGTTGCAGTTTCACCTCTGTTGTTCTGTATACCTGCATGCTTTGTTTGTTGTTGAAAATAATATTACGGTGTCTTGTACTTCAAATATGGGGCTAAAATTATAGAAGCAAACTTCACTTGTTCCTTGGGAGAATGAGTGGATCTTGTCTCAAAACACTTTTTGTTGTTGTTTGGTTTGGGTTTGTTTTTTTCTTATGCAAGTGAATGAATAAAAAGAATAAAAAAAGCCCTAGTGTTCAATTTGAAAGCTGTGCGCAATAACTAAAGTAAGGAAGTCCATAGGGTTTCTCCATGTGGTAAACTTTTATGAAATTCAACAGCAGATTTGTCTGGAAAAGAAATGAATAGGAAATTTAGGTTTTGACCAAAGCAATGTTATTAATAATATTATTACTAATAATATTATTAATTGTAACAAGCTTTTTTAACACAGCCTTTAAGTGAATGTGTACTTACTAGTTTTGAACTTCTCTTGTGCATTTCCCATGTTCTGGAATTATCTTCTACATGTGGTTGCTACCTGCATTCATTTGCCTAAAAATGAGCAGAGTAGGTAACTGGAGTTCATACAAGAGAGATGCAGTCCCCAAAGAGCACTGGGGACTTATTTGTTTTGATGAAGCAGAGGGGCTCCATGTTCTGACACAGACCTCTTGCCTTTTTTTCATAAATGTTGTATGTGTGCAAGAAAGGTATGAGAATTGCCTTAATTACTCATAGTTTGTATCTTGGAAGAATTTAATATCTTGCTGCAAACATCAGAATTTGGGGGAAAAAAGGAAAACTTTTGCTTTCCTTCTCTTTTTTCCCCTCTTATTCCCCCCCACACACACACACTTTTTTCTCCCCTCTCTCTTTTTTTTTTTTTTTTAGCTATTTCAAACATTCATCCTTCATCTCATCAGTTAAAGCTCTTTGGGAAACACCCTGAATTTGCTCTCTGTTGGAGAAATCATCAGAGTGTGTTCATATTAAATGAAGATTACAATTTTGCACCTGACTGAATATGAGAATAAATTCACTATTCATATGAACTAGCTATGATTTTCCCAAACTGATTTTACAGAAACTGATTCTAAACCTACACAATAATGTGCATTTCTCCATAGAGTTGTACTGATAAATATTTTAGAAGGAAAATCTTAAAAGGTATTTAACATCAATACTAACATCTTTCTTGTATGCATAATAGAAATAGCAATAAAAAAGAAAAAAAATGAAAAAAAGGTAAGTTTATAAGTTAGGTTGAGCAGATTCATTGCACGGATTTTAGAAAAAAATAATTCTAAGCTTTGAATTACCCACTATTCTCTTAATTCTGCTCCAGCTGAAGTCAATGAATCTAATTGAACTGCCAGTGCAATTAGGGGGAGTTGAATTAAGCCTGTCTGCTGGGAGCTCTGGCTGGGAAAGGGAAATGTGATGTATTAAGGGTAAGAACTCAGGAGAAGTTTTTCTGTGACAGTCTTCAGAATCTGTTATCTACTATTTCAATAGTGGAAGAGAGAGACCACTTTTAAAGGGTGGCAGAGTGTGTCTTAGTAAATGCCATCAAAGTAATCAGATAATTTAACTGAAGTACTCAGTACCTGCTGATATGGAAGGTGAGAAATTGAGAGCTTCAGGGTAAGAGCAAGGATAACAGGGGTGCATAAAGACTGTTATTGCTGTGCTGGTTGGTGTGTTTGTCATAAGGAAACCTGCTGACTGCTCTGGACTTTGTGTTAGAGTACAGTCTTCTTACCAGTTGCGATGAGGAGCCTACAAGTTCAGCCTGAGCTTGGAGGATAGAATTCATGTGTGAATATAAGCCTTTTAAGAAAGGCCCTTGCTTGCTTCAGGCTTTTTCTGATACATGATTTCTTCTGCTATTATTTTTCTTGATATTTAGCACTTTTGTTGCTGGCTACCAGTCTCAGAGAAACACACAACTGAATAGGCTGTGAAGAGCTTGCTGTTTCTCTGCCTTCACTTCTAACACCCTTTTGTCGTTTGATTTTCTTGCTGATTCTTTATTTCATGTTATTGAGAAGGATCAGGAATACATTTACCTTCGTTTCCACAATATCACTGATGGATTTGTTTATAGAGAGAAATATATTTAAAAAAAAACAACAAATATTTTAATGACTAGTAACAGTAAAGAACATACAAAGCAATAGCAATAAATGACTAGGAATTACACTTACCTTGCATTTTTTTGCATGTCTAGTACTAAACCAGTATTCTGGATCTCTGTGAATCAGACAATTACTAAAAGCCCCAGAAGAAAGGAACTGATAAAGCTCCAGAACAGAGGCGTATTAGAGCACCAGTGTTTGCTATTTATTTTTGCACAATTGCAAAAGAATAGGCATTTCAGGTAGTCAAAGAATACATGTCATTGATTCACCTTTCCTTTTTAACTTTTTTACCCATGTTTTTAGTCACTTTTCTCCACCTCTAGGTCAGTTAAAGGAGTTGAAGTGTTTTTTATTGAATAAGACTCCTCCAGTAGAGGCTATCCCTTAATGGAAACAGAAGGCTTGTTCTTCCATGTGACTATGGCAGAATCCTTGTGTGTGGCTTTTTTTTTCACCGCTAGTTGGGGGAGAAAGAAATGGGTTGATAGGTCTCTTTACGTGGTGCAACATGAATCTGGCTTTCTGATACTGCAAATATGGGTGTTCTTTGGGAATTGTTCTGCTCCTCATTAGGACTTGGTCATGTCCAGTTATAAAGACATCATTTCTGCTCTTTGGACCTATATGTTCTGATGGTCTGAATCACGTTCCTCCACTGATACCTCATTGTTTTGAATAGGGGAATGAGTAATGCTGTCGTCCTAGTTAGCTAGGGAAGAAGCTTAGATCTGATATTCAGCTTCTGACACCTGGTTATATAAATCAGTTCAGAACAACTGAGGTACTGCCTGCTGGGCCAGGGCTGCAGGAGCTGCTTCTTTTTAAAGAAGATACCCACTACATCTAGCATACCGGTGGTAGCATCTGAACTGGCAGTAAGTCAAGTGATCTTTTCTAGGAAAAATGGTTCTGGGTACCTGAAACCATCACACCTACATTCTTTTTAGCTTTTATTGTGCATAAAATGAGAGTGAAAAGTTCCGCTAAAGCTGTAAAGTTAAAGCAGGTCAAATGGGATTGCTTTTTTGTCTGTGTGAGCTAAACACTATCCCCTTCATGGTGTTAATCTTCTGAACATACAGCAAGCAGGTCTGATGTTTAGGCTGTGCTGGCATCTAGTATCACAGTTGCTGTAAGAAGTTAAGAAAGTGGTGTTAGCTGGTGCCAGTTTTCCCAGACATAGTTTGCTTTGCAACATTATCAGGTTTGTTAGGCACATACATTGACAATTTAGCTAATACCATGTACTCCATATGGTGAAAGTAGTAATAATAAGAAACCCCAAACCTGTATGGGTGGATTTTCTAGGGTTTTGCTTTAATTTTTTATTTTTTATTTTTTTTTAATCCTGATGGAGTACAAGAATGCTGTAGGTCTTACAACGTGCTACCCAATATCCCAGACAAACGCAAAAAGGTTGTTAATGAACTTGCATTGGTCCAACTGATTATCCTAGTGTTAATTAGACCTTCATTTTCTCATATACTAATTCTATGGTCAAATTGGGCAATTCAACTTCTTGAACCTCTGATTTGCAAATTTGAGCAACCTAGATTTAAGTAGCTGAATATGATACCTGTAGCTGTAGATAGCCCCGACAGAAGGCTTCAGCTGTGGAAATAATGAGCATACTCGGAAAAATCCTCCCATCACCATTATTCCAAGTTGTCCCTGAGGTAAAGGGGGGAATATGCTAGGTCCCAACCCACCCAAAACCCAAAAAAGCCAAACACTACTTACAATAGAATGGGAGAAAGGCAGATAAAAAAAAAACAGGTAGTGTTGCAGGGAATAATTAAGGCTCTAACCTGTCTTCATACAAGAGTAGCTGCAGAAGAGGTATTTGGTCTGATGTTCTCTCTGAAGACTAAACTGTGGCATCTCAAAGAAAGACTTGCACAACTTCTAGAAATTTTTCTGTCCCAGGTGCTTTGAAATACAGGTGGCATGTAAATATTTTGGTATTTTGTCTGATATGGAAGCAAATTAATATGTCTATTGATGGGGAGCCATCGTTCTATTTGTCTGTTGGCACATACTCTCTGTGACACCCAGGGCATGTAGCATTTGTCTGATGAACTCTGCTGCTAAAAATGTGTTGAAGACAAGCTCCAGGTAGATACAGAAGGTATTTTTGTTAGTATACTAGCTAGAGGAAGGTGCTTATGGGATTAAAGCTTCATAGTGTCTGCCAGTGTACTGCTAATCTGTAGATGCTTGAACAAGAAAGTGATGACAGTATTAAATGGGCTTCACCTTAAATCTAACTGAATAGGGCAAGAAGAGCAGAGAAGGTATATGATAGGAACTGTAGGTGCTCCAAGCCCCTAATATGTTCTCTAACTGATACAATTAGGAACACACAGGCATAAGAGAAATGGCAGGTGTAAGGAGTCACAGAAGATAGTAAGGAAAGAGGGATAAGCTCTTTTTAGGAGCTGGATCTTTAAGGTGGCAGTAGATGTCCTATTTCTTCAAAAGAGGGATAGAAGTTACAATGAGAGGTCAGCCTTTGGAAGGGAGAGGGACAGAAGTAAGGCAAGAGACACTTGCTGCCCTCTCCTATTTCCCCAAAGTGCTGTTTGCTCCCTAGAGTGCTGCGGATCTGCAAGGCTTCCCACTTCTCCCCATCAGAGCCTATTCTGCAGAGCACCCTTAAGGTGGGAAAAATCAGCTGTGCTGCCAAATAAAGAAGTGCTAAGTAAGCTTGTAGGAACCCACTGCTGCTGCCCCAGTTCATCCCACTTCACGACCAGAGAGAGCTACTCAGTGCCTACTTCTACTACTTCTAGAAAATTATTGCCTGTCCTCACATCTGAGAGTAAGAAGGGTTTTTCAGTAGGGCACTTGTGCTAAAAGTAGGATTTTATGCTATGTTTTATGTATGTAACTTTGAACTTTGCAAAATGTAATAATCAATTCTTAATTCAGCAAAGTATTTAAAAATTCTAGGACCATGCCAATTATCTGTTCTGCTAACAGAATCTATTAAATGGGCACTGCAGGTATCCTTAAAGCTACAAGTGCTATGCTTCAGTCAAGACAGGGCAGAAGTGAAATTCAGGCCTAAATAAGGTAAGGCATCACTGTTTAGCTTGTACACAACATTATAAGTCTAAGTTAATGTTGAACCATATGCTTACAAGCCAATTCTTAAATAACCAAGGGCACTATTAATTACACATACCTTTTTGAGATAATGTTTTAGTTAAACTGTCATTTCTTTTTTGTCCTTAAAATGGGGTGTCAGGAAATAAAGTAGAAATAAAAAACATTGTTAATTATTTCAGTAGTGAACTTCTGCAAATCATCTTTCAGCATTTGCCAGACAGAACCTGAGGTAAAAATTAAGGCCTTGCTATTAAGGATATTTATATATGTGTATGCCTCAACTGTACTTATTGTCCTGTTAAAGTGATTTAAAACTTGTAAGAAAGATACTTTACATCTTGGAAGACTTTGTTTCCTACTCCTGAAAGGCTGAAGTACTTTCCATGTTAGTAGAATGACTGCCTGGTGTGACAAGTGATGCTTGCAAGCTTTCAACTAGCTATTCTTGTTGTATTTTCATCAAGAAGCATTTAAATAGTATCAGTGTGGGGCATGTGATTTGATCACCATAGTTTTTCACTTTCTAAGGGTCTCTGGAGTGAGTTAATAAGGCTGTTGCTGTATTATAGTGTTTCTGTTCAATAATTTTTTATGAAAATTCATGATAATGCACTGTTCTGTATTGAAAGTGAAGTAAGTGTATCAAGTAATATTGCAAATGAAATTAAAAGCTTAATTCAGGTTAATGATAAATCAGCAAAGTTTATGAATTGGTAGTCTTTAATTTGTTTTTATAGCTCTTTAATTAATTTCTGACTCTTTTAATTTCACTGGAAGTGTTAAAATGTCTACTAGATAACAATCACAGAAAATTATCAATAGAAAAATGTGAGATTAGTGCTTACTGTGACAAGTTTAGAAGATTTAGCTGTGAGATTGTTATACCTGGGGACACTGCAGGATAGAATTGTTCTTGCCTCAGTACTAAAGATTAAAGAAGGAAATCCTATCACTTTAGGATACTTGCTGATTTCCTCTTCATATGATCGTGATTACTTGTGAGCATATAATAAGAGATAGGACTGAACCACAGATCTGAATTCAAAAAAGTTTTTTTTCTTGGTCAAAACTTTTTTATTGCTTCAGCTATGCAAAAGGACAATGAAAGCTGCAATGGCTTTCAGCTTTGTCATAGAGGTGAAAAAGTTGGCTGAATTAAGTGGAGAGGGAATTTCTTTTTAATGTCGCTGGGGTAATTTTTCTTCATTGTTGTAATAGGAAGATTTTTCTTATTTAATTTAAGGCTTAAAGGTCAGGGAAATAAAGTATTGTGAGATCAGATAGGAGGACATGTAATATCACAGTACATTTCTTCTCAAAGTATAATTCTCATTTTTGAAACTGTTTGCTTGTTTAGTTATCTTTTTCATTTAATCTTGTATTAGGAATCTCGTCAATTATTACTGAATCACACCAAGAAACCATACGGGATGAATCAGATACTGATTCAGAATGCTGCTGTACCATGTTACACTTGTCGCTGTGATTGACTTTTGGTCTTGTCCCTGCCAACTCACACTCAACTCTATGCCATTCCAGGATGGTATATTATCTGTTTTGAAATCTTTGACTGCTTAGATAACTTTAGAATGTTTTAAGATAACCTTATTGCTGCCTGTTATGAGGTGATCCTGCAGTGTATACCAGGTGTTTTTTTTCTGAAGAGAGTAAGGCTCATCAGATTAAATGAGGTGTGTGCATTCCTCAGAATGCCTACTAGGATTAAGGATTTAACTTGGAACAACTGTACTCAGAAATATTGGTACAAATTAATTTAGAACTCTTGTATTCTACTGTTTTCCCAAGCTACAGGAGCTTGCTGCCAGGGGCATCCATCCTATTTGAGTTACGTAGGAGAAGAATTTGAGATACAAAGAAACAAACTAGCAAAACCAAGGTAATAAAATATGTAATGGAAATATATCAGTTGCAAAGAAAGTGGGACCTTGATTTTGCTTTAGAAATATATTCAGAAGCTTATCATAATTGAAGTAAATGTGCAAGATCTTACTATTCATAAGTACCTATGTTTATGTAAACCAAATAACTGTTCAGACATGTTTGTTGCTGATTGAGGATAACAGGTCAGGGGCTTGAAACAAAATTGCCATCTCTGTTTCATATTTAATTACCTTGTAGTTTAATAGCATGAAAAACTGATTAGATTATGTACAGTAGTCTATATCATAAAAGTATATATTTTACAGTATTTTATATAAAAGCTGGATCAAATGTCCACAAATTACTTACCACACTGTGAGGTCTATTTAAAAGCTTTTTAAAAATGGAGTCAAACAACTTCAACTTTGTTGAGCTGCCATCTCCTTGATAAACAGTGTTTTTCCAACGGCTAAATAACAAAATTCTCTACTAATAAGTAACTGCTTACATATACTGTATTTTGTCAACAGAGTAAATTATATATCCTTAGGAGTGCTGGAGGCTGAAACACTAAGAGCATCTAGGAGGATATGGCACCACATAGAAATGACACTTAGCTTTACAGGCTCTGGATTTAAAAAAAAAACACCACCACAGCACAACAGCAGCAGCAAAACAGGTCAAAACTTGAGAGAGAACCAAAATTTGATGAGTTTCAAACTCAAGATGTCTGTATGAAATTGATTTGCACCTGTGGTTGCCCCACAGAAAAACCTTTTGTTATTTTTTTTGTAGTTGAATAAACTTGGTCTTCAATTGTGGAACAGTACTCTTGCTATGAGTTACACAACACTTCACTGTTCCTCTCATCCCACTCAAATACCAATCAGAATAACTCTTTTCAGAAGAACACTCTCTCAATTGAAAGACAAGCGTAAAGAATAAGTTACACCTGTATTACGCCCTAGTGGAGGGATGAAAAATGAAGATGTATGTCACTGGCAAAACAAAGCTTTCTCAAATATCTCATGCAGTATTTAAAATCTCTAGATTTTAAATTTGGAATCTCTAATGCAGTATTTAAAAGCAGGGTTTCAAGAATTTTTCCAGGAACAGCTATTGGGATTAATGAACATGCAGGCAAAATAGAGTCCACAGTTTTCAACAATGTTCAATGTAAGACCATAGTTCCTGCAAAACTTCTCCTATGCTCTTTCCTTCTGTTAGCAGGCTTTGGATTATACTGGCTTTCAAACAGTAGAAATAAAGAATCAGGAAAAATAACTGTGCTATTTAGTGATACATGCATTGAAAACCATGTATGTAAAAGCACGTATTGAAATATAAACCCCACATATTAAAATGTTTGAGATAAATCTTTGCTCCTAATAAAACCAGTAAAATGAAATTATCTTGCTGGACTAACAGCAAGAAGGAGAAGGAAAAGAAGAAACCTGAAGTAAAATAAAATTCTTTAATAATGACAGTCATTTTATAATTTTACACACTGTGGGAACTACTAGTCGTTGCATATGTTCAACCCAATGAATAACTTGCATCTCTGCCCATGTTTCAAACTGCAGGCTGTATTGATTTAAAAGGTGAGGTGCAAGAAACCCAGTTAGTAGGCTGGGGAGCAGCTGCTGTTGTAAGAGGAAAGGTGTGACAAATTGGAAGAGAGCAAATGAATAGTGAAGTGGAAAACAATCATATGCACATATTAAAATGCTTTAGTCATGACTTCCTCAGGAACCTGGGTGTTTTCTGACACAGATAACAAAAACCAAGACCTTCAGAAAGACTCCTTTACCAGATTATAAAATGTAATATTATATCACTGAGCCATTTTGAGCTTCATTGAATTTTCCGAACAATTGCTATCTTTTCCCCTGAGAAATGTCTTAATTATTTTTAGCCAGTCTGCATCCTAATCTTTAAATATATTTTTGCCTTTCTGTGAAACAAAATGGAAAGATAGCTGCTGTGTTCAATTTCTTGATCAACATGAGCTTGAGCTAAAACCCAGTAAAGTTGGCCAGTTGATTTTGGGAGATCAGAACCCAGCTGCATTTCATTTCTAATTTCAGTGACTTTAGTATTTCAGAGTTGGCTGACAAAGGCAGGTGTGATTGATTTATTTATCTTTATACCAGTGGCAAGAAAGCTTTGGAGATGAACAAATAATATCTTGAATTCTCTGCACACTTCTATGCTAAGGGATTAATATTGTGAGGTAGAAGAAGGTAAAAGATATTTGCAGTTCAAAGCACGCTGCATTTTTGCTCATGGTTACCATATGATTATGGACTTGCAGGAATCAATGACATTTATGGGTATGGTGTATATTTAGTTTCTCATTTAAAGTTGTAGTGGTATGCAGGCTAGGCTCAATGTGGCAGGAGAGCATAATCCTAGAAGTGTTCAAGGCCAAGGTGGACAGGGGTCTCATCAACCTAGTCTACTGGAAGGTGACCCTGCCCATGGTAGGGTGTTGGAACTTTAGATGATTTTAAGATTTTTTCAAACCCTAACCATTTTATGATATATTTCTGTGAATAAATCCGCATATGTCTGCATATTTCACCCTGTATTAATGAGCTTTGCTCTTACCTTTCATAGAGAGTACTGGTGTAGGTGCACACCAAATGGGTTTCCTCAGCATTCTCTAATAGCAGGCTGTATTTTTAGTCAACCAAAGGTTTGCCCAGACTAGGGTTATTACTATCCTGTCACAGCACGTAGCACTCCTAGTCAAAAAATGAGGAAGCTATTGAAGAAGTCAGAGTACCAAAACACTGATTGAGAACATTACCACCTACCTAGGATGTGGAAGTAGGCATGGGAGTGGTAGGGAATTTTTGTCAGTGTGGTTAAAAATATTTTACATAGCAATCTGAAGAGTGAGACAACATTGTACTTTTCGTATCACCAGAAAAGGGATGTTGTTCAGAGGTCTGGTGTGAGTCTGACCTCTGCAAAAATAATCAGGAATGTGTTAGGATACTTTAGACTCTTTGTCTCCAGCTTACATTGGCATGAGAAAAACTTGGGAAGCATGAAATTCTTCCATGATGGAGCAAATA